TGTTGAGGTCTTGGTTTTCAGACTAAAAACCCAGAGCTCTTCTGGGAGCTACATAATATTGTTTGGTATTTTGTTAGTCCAGACTCATTTATAGAAAGATGATATTACAGAACTTATGCAGCAAAAAAGGAAAATTTAATATAAATAACCAAAAAATAGCATATTTTGTTTAATCTGTTGGGTTGTTTGGAACACTCTTATCACTTTTTTTACTGCAAGTTGTGCTTAAAGTAAATGGGTGCCCTGTTTTGTTTTGTTTTTTTTTCTTTTTCGAAACAGGCATCTTCATCAGGTCAGCCTAACTCAGAGCACATCTTTACTGCATAATCTATAATCTGTTTTGTAGAGCATGTGAAAATTTATCGTTATAATATTATGGATGAGAAAGTTCGTTAATTGTGGTGGTTGTTTTTTTGACATTGCCACTCCATAGCAAAGCATTCTCTTTATCATCGGCATGTTTAGTACAGAAAGTCTGCTTATAAAACGTATAGTCACTCTCTCGATAAGGGGTAACACCCCGGGTCAGCTATCTAAGTCAGTTCATATAAGTGAGACTCGCATAACTTACAGGTAAATATACTGGTGTCCCTTTGCAAATTTTTTTTTTTTTTGGCGCGATTGGTTGTAAGCGAAACGTTCGTGTTTTCTCACGAACGGACTGGAGCTTACCAATGTGGACATCGATTCAGTAGGCAAATCAGAACGCGTGACTTGCTAAAGAATACAAGTTGAGTTATTTTTACTGTCTGTCAAAAATAGACCTTCACCTTGTTGTTAGTTTACTTACTTGCACTTTATTTTGAATTTCCTTGGTTCATTAAAATCGTTCTGTACTAATTAAGATAAAAGAGGGGCTGGTTTGAAGCCAGGTATATTAATAGTTTGATGTAGAATAACGAATAATCTGAGAAAAAGGCAAGGTTTAGGAAGATTGTCGGCTGAGACCGATGGATGATGAGGCTACTGGCTAGCACACAAGGGAATGGATGATGAAAGGGTAAGAAGTTTATTATCCAGGCCAGAATTTTGTTGAATACTGCCTGTTGCACTCAGATAGTATTTTTTGTGCGCCGGCGGACAAAAAATTTCTTTCAGTAAGGAGTGCCTCAATTTCCCTTTAATTTTGTGAGAAAATACGGGCTTCAGTAGAGAGATGTCAACCGGAACTTGAAAGTTCTCTTTCCAAGCGCTTTCTTCTGATGTCTTGTCGGTACCGTTTGGTTTTTAAGGCAACAACAAAGACATTTCGGTTGTTTGGTTAATGTCAAAGCGTTCCAGAAATAGTTTCAATCTTCCTTCAGCGTCTTAAAAATGAATTTTTTGGTTAATTCCTAGAAACAAATGTTTTCTTGTGAAATTTCGATTCAACTGATTTTATGCGAATTTTAATGTCTACCAAGTACTACATTTACTTTTTTTGGCTTAAGAATGTTGGCTTTATTTCTTGGAAAGCATACAGGATATAAGTCATTATAGTACGCCTTGTTGAAGAATCAAGGGAAGCATTGTATTCACTAAGTGGGCTTCATTTAGAGTTAAGATTTTCTCAAATATTTTAAACGTTAAAACAAAACGCAACCGAAAAAAGGTCTGTTGGCAGGCCCTCATTGTTTGTGCATTTCCTCGTCCGCGGGAAGGTATGAGGACTTAGCAACAGAAGCCGGCGGGAAGTCTGCAAGGGGTTTAGCTCTGTTAATCATTATTAGAGCCAGACCCCCGTCAAACCTCTCCTCGACTCGTACAGCGCTACTGATGCGGGCCTGCCCGCAAGCTAAATCTGTATGTTCTGCTTCTATTTGAAAAGAAAGTTGCAGAAACATTTGTATCCATGCATTTTAGGATAGTTGTATTAGTGCATTTATATAATTTGGCAAGAAATACCAATTTGAAGGCCATTGTACAAAGTACTAATAAAACAAATTTTTTTATATCATTAAGTTCTTTGAAATTATTTCCTTTGCTCTAGCGTCAAGGTATCATGTCAGTTCTCTTTTACCCTTCTTCCAGGCCCCAAGGAGCGGACAAGGGTACAGGAATAGACGTAGAGTCCTTGTGATTCACCGTCCCCTCCCACCCCTCGTTTTCAAGAAAAATTGTTCGCAGTATTAGATAACTGGAAGCGAGCTGGCGGTCTCGAATACGTGATCTCTGTTAGTGTCAGATTTTTATATGGACCTGGTATGTTCGTGGTCTACCTCACGGGGTGTTCCATATGTCACCATCTTTAGATTAATCTCTTACAGTCGAACCTGTGGGTGACCGCTTAAACCATCGAATAAGGTGTATATATTTGATTCATTGGTTCAAAAAGAATCGCGTAAGTCACCTTTTAACGCTGGACCAAGGCTCAATGGTATCACTTAACTGACTTTAACATCCAATACGCGCGGATATTTTGCTTCTTGCGTGGTATTTTCCCGAGTCTCGTAAGGGCGAGACAAAATACAAGCAACGAGCAAAATGTCCGCTTGTATTATACGTTAAAACATCATGATAAGGGATTTATTATTGAATTTTTTTATTATTTTTTTAGAATGTTGGCCTTATCTGAACATGCGTGAAAGAGCAAAATAACACAAACAGAACCATTGAAGTGTTCCTATGACGAACGAAATAATCTGACACGCTTAAAAGTGCTTTGCTTAAAGGGCGGAAAAAGGATCAAAATTTGGATCTTTAAGTGTAGCAATTTTGGTCTTGCACTTCCCGTCCGTATTTTTGCCCTTTACTAAAGTGGAATACGGTCGTATAATTTGCGCATTCCGTTGCCCCTGACATGATGAAATGACGTCATTGGGGAAAACTAAAGTGCGATTTAATCGCGACCTTGGTTGGGAAGTTTGTCAAGCTACTCGTTATCACTGGAAAACCTAGTCTGATGGTTGTGGTTGATAGCACAACTGTTTGTAAGTAGCTAAGCTTTAGTCCTCTGTCTTTTTTAACACGTTAACAACTGAAAATTACTTAACTAACATCACTCTACATTACATAACATTTCATGATGCAAAGTATATTCAGAAAGGTCACAACATTTAAGAGTATCATTGTAAACAGTCAATAGTTTACACTGCACTCAAATTTCTTTTACAATTAACACTGCATCGAAGGGTCGTGAAAATTTCTTGGCCAGTCAGGGTGGACTGCCTGATTATACCCTTACGTTAAAATCTGGCCAGTAAAATAACTTAAGTGTCGGAACTGTGACTTCGTATCAGAATTTTTTGACGTACCTGTAATATTTGCTCTGTGATTCACTTGAGAGACCTACTGATATAAGACGTAATGGACATTTTTTTGGTGCTTTTTTTTTATTATTTAATCAACTTGAAGCAAGATCGAGTCCTTCCGCAAGGGACAATCGTTTTCCTTTTGAAGGGGCGTCACCATTAACCAATGCTTATCTATGGATAAGTAAGCTTTGGTTTAAAATTATTTCAGAAAAACACGATTTCAACGTTGCTTGATCTATATTTTCTTTTGTGCATGAATGGTAGTGGTATTTCGGGGAAAAGAAAACTCACAAACAAAGACTGTATTGGCATTAATGTTCCAAAATTCGTTTTAAACTACAGCGTGTACAGAAAAATGAGATTAGGTTAAGCTGTCCTGCTGAGACTGGTATCAGATCGGGCTGTGATATGTTAAACCTTAAGGAGTCCATTAGTTTAGAAGAAAGAAACGGTTCTATTTTGGCCCATTTGCAAGTTCATCGTATTGTTCCTCAAAATGGTTCTTAAAGAACGGGGGCTTTTTCAAAAGTACGAAAACCCGGCCAACCCATGTAACAGGAAACCACATCGGAAGGCTTTAGATAAGTGTTCCAATAACCGGCCAACTTAAATGATATGGGAATCTCAATGTCTATTTTTGAAGAGGACAAGAAAAGATAGAAGGCATTTTATAGAACAACAAAACACAAATATATTACAAATTAAGTTGATCTTAGTTTTTAAGAAATTAATATTAAAACTTTAGTCAGCTTAAGTTTATGGGAGGTCGACGACAAGAAATCAACCCTTGATAAATAGAAAGAGATAATATAAATAGCTAAGTAGTTGGTTATGGTCGATGTCGTGATTTATTGTCTAACTTTATCGGCTTAAAGCATTTGGTAAATCATACTCAGGTCGAATTAAGTATTTCGAGTCGGTGTGAACAAGAAGTCTTTTAGAACGTACAACATACCATAAAAAAGCAGTCAGCGAAATCGCTTTTAGAACAGCGACCGCTCAGGAACCATCAAAAGTCAAGATGTTGTGAAAGATTTGAAATTTACACAACAAAGTGAAGAAAATTTCAAGAACACCACTCGTTCAAATTGATATAGGACTTAGAGAGACCCACAGTAGCGATTCGTTGCCTATTTAAGTTCCTCAGGCCTGAAAGTTACCGGATTAAGACCCATTTTCCCTGAATTTCGATTGTGAGGCGCAGTTCTCAGTTCATGCTTGAGTGAAACCGTCAAAATTATTCAAAGAATGTTTTTTTTTCTCGACAATGATAGGATAATTGTTGGTATTATTTGTGACAGTGGCCTCTGGCATATTTTCGATGCATGTTTGCCCTGGTTTTCTCTCGTATCCAATTTTCTGCAGAGGTTGACGCATTTTAATGTTTTTATATGAAAATTGTTTACCGCCGCTGACCGAAAGCGCACGCTGTGTCAATTTGTCCTACGCAAGAATTCACTCGTCCAATACAGCGAAAATCTGAAATACCATATCATTGTTATCTGAAAAAAGATAACAATAGTCATGTGAACTACGTCAGCACTTCAAACTAATCAAACTTCAATAGTTTGCCAAAGTTATAAATAACCACCTTTTCCGTTGGTCTGTAGTCAGACTTAAGACACGCTCACCGACACAATTTCTGAATATTTTGGGATATCTTATAGCCCAATGGTGCGGAGAGTAACTTTTAACAAACGCAAACTGCACACGCACGCGTAAATTTTAAGGATTACATGAAGTCATGGTTTATCAGAATTGAAAGAATATATCAAAACTAGTATCGTGAATGAAGGCTTGAATGCACATCCGACCTAAGGGTACATCCTGCTCTCATTGTGATTAATGACTCTAAATTCAAATTTCGAAAAAATTCAAGACACGCATAAATACTTAGTCATAAATACTTAGAACAGTGACGGACGCATTTCAATCGCTCGATATCCTTCCTAAGAAACCATCCAACAATGTGGTGGTTTTGGCTCTTGGGGTGGCTTCTTACCATAGTCACTGTAATTGGAAATGGAACCGTGATTTCCTTGATCATTGGCATTCATCGTTTACACAACACAGCCAACTGGTTAGTGCTTGCCCTTGCCTTCGCAGACTTGTTCGTTGGACTTACGTTTTTTCCTTTACTCTTCGCCATGAAGATAGACAGCCTGAACGATCCCGACCACGAAAATGTGGATCCGTTCTTCTTGGTATCTAGGACATTCCTTTATTTCTCGGCTACAAATCTGTTCGTGATGATCGTGGACCGATACTTCGCAATTGTTCATCCATTGAGGTATTTGTCGATAATGTCGCCAAAGGTGATCAAAATTGCTATCACAATGGCGTGGATTTTACCAGCGGCATTATTTACCTTGCCCAGAGGCCTACACGTGCGAAATAGATATCTACTTGTTTTTAGAGTTTTTGTCTTCCAAGTTGTTACAGCAATTGTATTTGTATTCGTCGCTTGTCGAATATTCTGCATCCTACGCAAGATTTCGGAAAGGAGATCAAAGATTTTTGCCCAACTCCGTTTTAACCACGCGCCAAAATATTCACCTACTGTGCTTAGATCGAGCAAAGAGAGCAAAGCTGCTGCCAAAATGACAATGGCAATCATGTTTCTCTTTATTATCTGCTACGTCTTCGAGAACTACAAGTGTGTATGCTTTGTGTTCGAGTTATGTGAAACCACAGCATCTCTTGATATAGCCATTGATTTGCTATTTTTGATCAACTCTGCCTCAAACCCAATAGTGTACGCTTTTCTGAAGAGAGATGTAAGAGCTGCCTTTCAGAGTCTGTTGGCGCGTAGGAAAGTTCACGTTCAAAACATTTCAACTGGAAGAGAAATGACTTCAAGCACGCCCAGCTAGATGGAGAAAGAAGAGATGAGTAGAAGCCTTGTAAAAAGATCTTCTCCTATCAACTGAAAAAATACGCTGTCTGACTACAGTCTGTGAGAGATTTCTCAAAAAGACGAACGCTGTTACACCCAAGATCCGATTTGTAAGATTCCAATCAGCTCATTTTCATTGCTTTGTAAATTGTTAAACTAAACAGAGTTCTGGACACGGAGTGTTTCATGGATGATGTATCCATTAATACGTGGAGTCAAATACTAGCAACCTCTGAGAGTTGAAAGGTTAAAAATCCTAAAAACTGGGCCATCCGGTTCATTGAAAGATTAACAGTTTAATATGTACATGTAAAAAATGAATTGATCAATGAACCGATGAACAAATAAATAAACTGTTGAAAATGTTACGAAAGTGAAAAACAATCATTCCAAAATCCATCGTTTGCGGAGCAAAATTTCTTTGACCCGAAATTCACGTTTTACGGGCAGAATTGAAAAGGGGCTGAATTAAGTAAGGATACCCGCAAGTTAAACGCGAGCGTCTATACAGTTTTCGATTAAGAGTCGTGAATTCAAAGCCAAAGTAAACGCAACAAACAATCGGAACAGCGGTAAATGTTACAGGGATCCAATGAGAACTCAAAGAAAGTCACATCAAAGTCATGCCTGAAGCAAGAAAAAAGGCTAGTGACCGAGCTGTGCTGGTTTTCAAAACCGATCCTGCGGATTAAAAGTTAATTTGGTTTAATCAGCTAAATTGATAATGTAAATTGGCTACCGTTAAGACTTTTTAAAGACGAAATTTCGAGCGTTGGCCCTTGTTTCGCTCTGAAGAAGGGCTTTAGAAAAACTCTTTATGAAACCAAATTATAATGTATTAGCCCCGGTGCAGCACCTTTGTATATTTTGAAACTTACCTCCTTTATTCAATCCTGGATTATGGTAGACATTCTGTTGAAAAATTGCTACATGGGCGGGTGATGCATTTAAATTATGTCCAGCTGGGATCGCTTGGTGTGAAGCAACAAGGCAAAAATTCACTCCCAAAATTTCATTTGTAACTCTCATTTCCTTCTACCTTACAATTTATGATGTTAGTTTGGAGAATTTGGAATGGATCAACCAATAACCCCTATTTTATATTTTTCTCTATTCTCATTACTCGTCTGCTTGATATCGAACTGATACTGTAAGGAGAAATTCTGTCTGGGTCATTAGTGGGATTTAAAGGGTTAAAAACCTTGGGTGTGAGGTTTCGGACTCTTGTGCATTTTTAAGGAATATTATAAAACTGCAACAAAGGATTTTCTGCGCGTTCTCATAGCCTCATCATCACACTCGGTAGAGTGAGGGAGTTCTCGGGAGATTTGAAAACCCGAGACGTGGCTGAGGTGCATAACTGTCTCAATTTCCCTACTCCTCTTGTGTTTAAATGAGGTTGGTAAACACGGAAACATTTCTTCGTCATTAAAGATACCTCAATTCGTCATTAAAGATGCCTTAATTCGTCTAATCTCGTACCCAGATCCTACCGTGTAACTGTTACTGAAACGCAACCGGCCGTAAGAGGTCTGGGTACGAAACTAGGACCAGTCTTTATTTATCGCTAGGGGAGGTAAAGGATCTATGGGGTATTACATGGTTTTTAGGGCTAAAGGGAAGGGGCTTCAGTTGCCGCCATCAGAGTATAAAAGTTGTGCTAGAGAAAATTGACTGCCAACTAACTGCCTGTGGGGGAAGGGCGTGGGGAAGAGGAAACATAAGAATATTACACAGTCTGAGGGGCAACCAGGTAAATATATCATGACACAACCTAAATCCTCCCAACCCCCAGGTGCTAAACAATGACCGGATCCTTGATCCTTACGATCTTGGCGAGAAAATAATCGACCTGTTTTTAAGCACCTCAGTACATTTTTCACAAAATTATGGAAGAGCGTTACCGTCCAGCTCTGAAAACGTTACATGATGACATGCGCTTAGAAAATGTGCTGTCTGAGGCATCTTTTCTGAGTGTATCATTTATTTTCTTAATTACTTGGAATTCGAACTCAATCACAATCTCTAGGTAGAAATAACACTTACAATTATTACCATCACTTCTCTCGGACTTGCCCATCAGTGAACACTCAATAATCTAAATATAACATACCACGCTGTCGTAACACGGCGGAAATTTTGTTTCTATTTTCTTGCATTAATCAAAGATCTGACAGCTGCTCTGGCATCAATTTAAGACTAGAACAGTCCATCGCATTTGTCAAATGAAATTTAAGTGTTTCAACTTTGCTAAGGGTTCACTGAAACAACAAATGAGAGATGTTTGACCAATCAGACAACAGGCAGTATCTCAGATAAGTTATACACTACAATAACAACTTTTGAGCACCTCTGCTTTGTTATAAACGCAGAAATATCAGCTGTCAGTTTGAAAGAATAAGACCCTAATGAGAAACTTTAAATCCTGCCGTGTTTTACAAGAGTGAGTTACATGCACCAGACCTAAACTAATTACATACATAATTCCTTATTAAATGATAACCATCTCACTCAGTCTTCCCTTCCGGGCCACTAAGCTGTTTATATTCAGACTGTTGTTAGTCACATCTTTCCCAATAAAACTCCACTTGACTATTTCTTATTAGCTCTTTATCAGCCACTGTTCAAATTTCGCAGAGGGAATTTGGACACAAAGTGATTAAAAAGGCGAACTTCCTTCAATAAACAGAAGTATCACAATATTCTCGCAAATGTTAAATTATAAAACAGTAACTTAAAGATATAAGGAAAATGTCAATAAAAGTTTATACCACGTTTGTCCAAACCTTCCCAGTAGGTAATAGTGGAGAAAAACCTAAATGGAGGAACATTATCATTGCTAACAGCTAAATAAAGATATTAGGATGATGTTTTTTATGAAATTCTAATCCCACCTAAGAAAAGAAAATGCATCTCCCATAGCACAAAAGCTTCAATTTTTAAAATATTACAAAGTGCAAAGCTATTGTAAGATCTACGTGATCAACAATAAGTCTAATAAGACCAATATCACTTTATGGGATAAGTGGATCCTGTTAGAAGTTTGTATCATAGATAACAAAAGCAATTGTGGCTGTCTTATTGTAAAAGAAGAGAAAAAAAACGGACGGCCTTACTTGCATTCACTAACTTACAGACTAATTCAAATTATGCAAAAGCCGCCTCCGATCCGATTTAAGATAGATACACCAGTTCAGGCAATTCTGGAGATTTGGGAAAAAAAGGAAGGTTTCCAGTAAAACTAAACGAAATGCAAGACAAGGTCACATATTTGAAACCAAGCTGATTAAATCGGTGCTACTAACAACTATCAATTCTTTATCTATAAGCAATACAACTAGTAATGTCTCATATTATATATCAATTTTGCAATTATATATGTAATTCTATTTATATTCTTTTCAGTCATTCAAGTGCTTGGCTACGGTAAAATTCAGTTCAATAACTTTGCTCCCATAGGAAAGCTGGATTGGTGTTTTGATTAGAGTAACAACACCTGTACAATTCAATTTCAACAATTCCTTAGCTCAGTGCCAAAGATACGTTGTAGAAAAAAGGAGTCACTTATGACTCTCTGAGCTCAGACAGTTAAATAACTCAGTCTTGACAATTCAAAATTCAACAGTATGAATTCCCAGGCCCATGTCTTTACCGGCTTGATACTCAAAACATATTTGTTAGTTACAAACTGTCCACTTACTTCACGTAACAGTTCTCTAACAAGATTCAATCACCATTTCTCTAGCGTCCTTTAGTTGACGCAGACCTGTGTAGATGAACACATACCCACTGCCCGTTCTTTAACTGCCACACTCGAGTCTCTTCTGATTGGTCCGTCACTGGCTCGCCGTTGCTTCCGATTCGCTGGGTCAGGCGCACGTACGAAATGCACGCGGCTTCTGCGCTCAGAATATGCACGTGAGGCGAGAGAATCGTTGTATTTGTGGGTGCATTGCGTTGACGCAGCACGTTATCGAAGTAAAACTTGTGAAACTCTAGACCTTCCACAAGATTTCCAATTGCTTCTGGTTCGAAGGCAGTTACGTGAGAGTCAACGAGTTTGCTGTACGTGTCGTAATCTTGAGTGGTTATACTGGTTATCAGTTGCTGCGTTAAGCGGATTATTTCCTGTTCTTTCTGCGATTTCCACTGCGGCTGCGCGCTGGCTTGGGTGGTACCATCTGTTTCTTCGGGATGAGTCGCCATTACATCCTCATCAGATTCCTTCTTCTTTCTCGAGCCGCTAAAATTATGCGTCGCTAAAAGCGTCGTGAGAATGGCCCCTTTAAGTTTTCGTCGCGCGTTGAATCTTCTCAAACCATCGAGCGTAGTTTGGCGATGAACTTTCGAGGCAATTCGTTCACTGTTCTGAAAAAATTGTAAGCACAAAAATAATGCATTTTATAGTTCATGATCAAAAATTTAGTTAAGCGACTGCGAGTTACCCTGGTCAATCGTGAAACCTTCTGAAGGCTGTTGGAGTAAAGAACCTGTTTGAAAGTTCAGATTCCCGTCTGTAAGGCGAGTGAAACAAGAGATTGAAAAGAATATCCCTGTTTGCAGCCCCAGCAAGAAGAAGCGAAGAAATACATCAGATCTTTATAGAGCGCATTTGACATATAGGACAGGTGCTCAAACAATGCAAGTCAGTGATTTAGTCAATCCCTTCACCACAACACACTTGGCTCAATTAGCAAGAAACTTGACAACGAACCACAAACTAAGTAATTTTCCGGTAGATTCACAAATTGTTTTGGAATAACACGGACAGGATGGATCCGGAAAATAGAAAGAGGAGGCGTAAATATGTGTTGGTCTTTCTCTGATATCGTTTAATTTCATAGGAGAGGCAACTTCATACATTGGACAGTATGCAAATAAGAGCAACTAAATTCTGCATAATTTGAGGCTGGAAAGGTTTTAGCGGTCACAATGCAATATAAGCGCATCACTTGTCTTTTTCCGGGTTCAAATTTTCCCAATTTACGAACTACTAGTGCAAACTACTGAACTTAAAAAACAGTTTGAAATTCTGTAGAATAACAATACAAAAGGCCTTCCAAAAGAACAGAAAACAATTTACATCTGAAAAATGATCATTTGCTTTTTCATGCTGGTGTAAAAGTTTTAATTGACGCTTAAATTTTCTTTTTTCAAAGTTTCTCGTCAGGATTAAAAATTTAAATAATCATTAAATAGGAAAAACATTAGAGGCCAAAAGTAATTATTGTAGATAAGGAAAAAGTTTACCAATCGTCTGCGTTGCCATCTTTTAAGCATTCAATTTAAAAGGAAAAAGGCACTTGCAGTCTAAGTATCATTTGCAGAACCGTCGGTATATTAATAGCCTACTGATTCAATAAGCCTAACATC